CGGAGCACGTGGCGCACCTGGCGCACCAAGCGTGCCTGGCACGCTCGGGCCCCAGGGGTGCCTGGCGCGCGTGGCGCGCCTGGCACGCGTGGCGCACCTCGTTCCAGCGTCGCGCACATAGTAGCTGTCCATCCAAAGACGGCCGCTGAACATGCTCAGGCTCGGGTGTTACTTATGTGTTGAGAGGGCGGGTGGGGGTGATCTAGACGGCTTGCAATCCATGGGGGCGTCTTGGCACCTCCCCCTGCCCCCTCCTCTGGACCTGGGCGGGGGGTCTCGCGAGGTGTCAGAGGGTCCTTTTCGCCCAAGATGGCTCCAGGGGTAACTACTCGCAAATGTGCTATATCCGCCGCGGGGAAATCACGATCCATGTCACGAAGAGAACTTCCCCTGGGGCTTCGGCCTGGCGCGCCAACCACCTGGAAGGCTTGCCCAGAGGTGGTTGCCAATGTAGCGGAGCAAGACATACAAACGCAGCACCGCCGCTCTCGCCAAGGCTCTACCGCGAGGCTCCGCCCCAGCAAAAAGGCGACGTGCTGTGCCCCAATCACAGACAAAGTGGCCGGAGAGTACTTGTGGCCTGCACGGCAGCGACGCTCTCCACTAAACCCACTGCAAGGCCCAGGACCAGGTATTGCGCGAGCTTGCGGTATCGGCCCAGACAAGTATACGGGTCGTATACGCTCACCGGCGTTATGGCTTCGGGTGAAGCGACTGGGCGCCCAGCGCGCCCTTCGCACGGCGCGGGTGGCCGCGGACCGCGGCCGGTGCGGCGGCCCGCGAAAGGCGGGCGGGCGTTCCCTCCGCTGCGCCCGCCGTGGCTACTCACAGGGGGACTTTGACCACTCAAGCGACTGGTGGTGATGATGATGATGATGATGAGGATGATGAGGATGATTACGACGATGATGATGCTGCTGATGATGATGGTGGCCTTGGTGGTGATGATGATGGTGCCGGTGACGACGACGAGGACGATGATAATGCTGATGATGATGACGATTCTGATGACGCTGATGATGACGGTGACGACGATGATGACGACGATGATGATGATGATGATGGTGATGTTCTTGGTGATGGTGATCGTGATGAAGATAATGATGAGGATCCTGATGATGATTGTGGTGATGTTCATGGTGGTAACGATAATGCTGCTGATGATGATAATGATAGTGGTGATGATGACCATTATGATGATGATGATGATGATGATGATGATGATGATGATGATGATGATGATGATGGTGCTGATGATACTGATTCTGATCATGAGGATTAAAATGCTACTGATAATGCTAATGATGATGATGCTGATGATGCTGCTGCTGATGATGGTGATGGCGATGGCGGTGGTTGTGGTGATGACGACGATGCCCACACCCCTTGCGTCGCAGTGATGACTCAGATGAGGATGAGGAAGAGGAAAAGGATGAGGATGAGGAGTATGGCGATGCTGAGGAGGAGGAGGAGGAGGAGAAGGAAGAGGAAGAGGAGGATGAGGAACGTCTTGGAATGGTTTGGCCACGCCCGAGGGGCCACGCTACACCCAACAACGACGCACACGCACCCCTGGACAGGCACCGAGGAGAAGGAGGAGGAGGAGGAGGAGCTGGAGGAGGAGGAAGAGGAGGAGGAGGAGGAGGAGGAGGAGGAAGAGAGGCGAGGGGGGGACACCGGGCCGATCATGAGCAAAGGTGCGCGGCGTGGTTTAGCTTGCCAAGCTAATTCAAAGTTGTGCCCCGGACAAGCCAGCGTGAGGGGAACATGGAGGACGAAGATGACGAGGCCTCTCCCGCCCAGACCCCAGACCTCCGACGTCGTGTTGCTCTCCATCTCATCGTTTTTCGTCGATTTCGGCCTCGTGGGGCCGTTTTCAAGCTCTGGGGCCACGAACAACTACCGAGGGCAAGACCTTGTCCCTGGGAAGGGGTCGAGAATTCTATGGGCCCCGCACTGACAGAACACGACGCCGGGGGTCTGAGGCTGAGGCGGAGGAGGTCTCCCCTTCTGGGGCGGCTCTGATCGACCCGGGGCACTGCGCTCCCGAACTCCCCTGCGCGAGCCCGCTGCACCGACGATCTCTCGAGAGGGGGGCCGAACTTGAGCACAGTCCATCGGGGAGAAGTGGGCAGAACAACTGAAGTGTGAAGGCGGTTCAAGTACACTGGATTTTGGCACGCCCTGGAAAAAGGGGAGGCAAAAGGAGGCCCCTCGATGGCTGCAGCAGGAATGCGTTCAAAACAGATTGGGATCTACGAGCCCAGAAACAACTGCCCTCGACACACGACCTGCAGTAGGCCACCTATGGGGTTGAGCACCGCTGCCCCCCTCCGTCGGCTGGACTGCCTCACCCTTGGGCGGCCCAGCCTTGGTAGCGGCTAGATGGCCTGCGCCAGACCCAGAGATCCGATGTTTTGATTTTTTCAATGCCCATTCCTCAGGACAGTTTTTTCATCCCGAGTCGTTTTTTGACGGTCGCGAGGCCCGGCGAGGGCCCCTAGGGGCCGAAGTTTGCGAAAAACCTGCGTCGGGCCAAAACTTCCCCCTCCCTCCTCTCTGCTGGCCGCGGCCGGTGTTAGGCCGGGCATGTCCTCCCGCAGGTGGATCTTGGAAGACAAATGAAAAAATCAGCACGTACTCAAACAGAGTCAAACGTAGTCCAAACATCGTCCCCGTCCTATTTCTTGGGGACCATTTTGGAATATTCCTCCTGCAAACCCAGACACCCGACGTAATGTTACCTAACGGCGAAGACTGATAGGTTCCTAGTGGTGTCAAAAAGATAGCATCTTGACGCCCCAAGGGGGTCTGGGCGGGATCCGGACAAAACCGGACAAAAGGGTCAGCCTTAGAAATCCTGAGGAATCCTTCGGAATTTCAGGAATCCTTAGGAATCCATTCCCAAAACACCATTCCCAGGCCACATTCTGAATGCCCGGAACCAACTGTAAGCCACTTCGTGTTCTTCGTGTTCCCAGAACACCATTCCCAGGCCACATTTTGAATGCCCGGAGCCAACTGTAAGCCACTTCGTGTTCTTCTTCCAGAACACCACGCCCAGGCCACATTTTGAATGCCCGGAGCAAACTGTAGGCCACTTCGTGTTCTTCGTGTTCCCAAAACACAATTCCCAGGCCACATTTTGAATGCCCGGAGCCAACTGTAGGCCACTTCGTGTTCTTCGTGTTCCCAGAACACCATTCCCAGGCCACATTTTGAATGCCCGGAGCCAACTGTAGGCCACTTCGTGTTCTTCGTGTTCCCAGGACATAACTCCTGTACAATATTTTGATTGCCCGGAGACACCTGTGGGCCACTTCGTGATCCTCGTGTTCCCAGAACACCAGTCTTGTGTTATATTTTGAATGCCCGAGCTAAGGCAGGCTGAGGCCGAGGCAGACTGAGGCCGAGGCAGGCTGAGGCTGAGGCTGAGGCTGAGGCACGCCGAGGCAGGCTGAGGCTGAGGCCAAGGCAGGCTGAGGCGGAGGCAAGCTGAGGCTGAGGCTGACGCAGGCTGAGCCCGAGGCAGGCTGAGGCTGAGGCTGAGGCAGGCTGAGGCCTAGGCAGGCTGAGACTGAGGCGGGCTGAGGCTGAGGCTGAGGCTGATGCAGGCTGAGGCTGAGAGGCTGACGCTGAGGCTGAAGCAGGCTGAGGCTGAGGCTGAGGCCGAGGCAGACTGAGGCTGACGCTGCAGCTGAGGCAGGCTGAGGCTGTGGCTGAGGCTCTGGCTGAGGCTGAGGAAAGCTGCGGCTGAGGCAGGCTGAGGCTGAGGCTGAGGCAGGCTGAGGCTGAGGCTGAGGCTGAGGCCGAGGCAGAGGCAGGCTGAGGCTGAGGCCAAGGCAAGCCGAGGCAGGCTGAGGCTGAGGCTGAGGCTGATGCTGAGGCAGGCTGAGGCTGAGACAGGCTGAGGCTGAGGCTGAGGCAGGCTGAGGCTGAGGCAGGCTGAGGCTGAGGCCGAGGCAGGCTCAGGAGGCTGAGGCAGGCTGAGGCTGAGGCGGGCTGAGACTGAGGCTGAGGCAGGCTGAGGCTGAGGCTGAGGCTGATGCAGGCTGAGGCTGAGAGGCTGACGCTGAGGCTGAGGCAGGCTGAGGCTGAGGCTGGGGCCGAGGCAG